ATTCAAATTAATTAGTTAGATTTAATATTTTTATTTAAAATGAATATATATTTCTGACTTAATTTATTTAGTTTTTATTGTATTACTTTTAATTTCATTATAATTATTTTTACATTTTCATAAATTATTAAAATTATTTAAGTATTTAATTAATAAAAATAATCTTTTTTTTATCATTTAATGTAATTCATGAATTATATATATAAGCATTACATGTACATATTTGTGCTTTGACCTATAGATGTCAGAGATGACCTTTAAAATATTCATGTTTATGAATATATATTATATTAAAATTTATTTGTTTGTATTAAATTTCATTATTTTATTTATATTTTATATTATTTATTTATAAATAAATATATAAAATAGAATAATAATAAAATAATTGTTATAATTATAATTATTATCATTATTGTAATTTATTTTATTTTACTTAATTTTTAAATTGTTTTTAGCTATGGAACAATTTAAGCCAATAGATGCAACTACAAATCCTTCTTTAATCCTTGCTGCGGCTAATCAAAAAAAAATATGTTCACTTAATAGATAAAGCTGTACAATATGGGAAAAAATCTGGATCGTAAGTATATATATTATAATATTTATAATATATAATCAATAAAATAAAAATATAAATGTTATAATAAATAATTTTAATGAAATATTTGATTTTTTATTATTATAAAATTAAAAATATATAATAATAATATATATTAATTTTATTATTTTTCTTATGTTAATATTAAATTATGAAATATTTTTTTAAAATAATAAAAGAAAAATATATTAATTTTAATTTTTAAAGATTAGTATATAAAATTTTAATATAATTTCTAATTAATTGCTATTATAATTAAGAAATATATAAAGATTATTTGTTTTAATAGATAGATTTTTAGATATAAAATTTATAGTATGATAAAAGTTAATTTAAGAAATCATAGAAATTATAAGGAAAATATGATATACATGAACAAAATAATATATCAAGAAATGTAAAGAGATTAAATAAATCTATGGAAATGTAGGAAAATCTATGAAGATTAGGAAAGAGTGGGAGAATATTGAAATTTATAAAAAAAAGAAAAATAAAAGGAAGTTTGTGAAACAAAAGGTATGAAAGAAAAAAAGTATTTGCTTGATATGATAAAAGTGGTAATAATTAATATGATAATTTTATAGTTTACATAATTTTTTAATGAAAAGAAATGAACTACTTATAAATTTATTTGTTTCAGTACTTTGACAGAACAAATTGAGGCAGCTCTAGACATCACATGTGTCCTTTTTGGTAAAGAAATTTTAAATATTATACCTGGTAGAGTTTCTACAGAGGTAGATGCTAGATTGTCCTTCAATAAAGATGCTAGTATCGAGAAAGCAAAAAAATTAATTGCTTTGTATGAAGAACTTGGTGTAAATAAAGATCGTGTACTAATTAAGCTTGCTTCTACTTGGGAAGGTATTCAAGCAGCAAAGTAAGTCAAATATGTTTTTAATTATTTGAAATTACACTTACTATAATTCAAATGCAAACACAAGAAAAATAATGAAATTTATTTGTATAGAGAATTGGAAGAAAAGTATGGAATTCATTGTAATTTAACACTACTATTTTCTTTTCCACAAGCAGTTGCATGTGCAGAAGCAGGTGTAACTCTTATATCACCATTTGTTGGAAGAATTCTTGATTGGTAAATTTAAAATATCTTTTATAAATATTGTAATATTATAATATTTTTTATAAATATTTTATAAATTTCAATATATTAAAATATATATAATTTTTATTTATGAGATTTATTTATTTATGAAAATATTCTTTAGGTATGTGACAAATACAGATAAAAAATCTTATGAATCTAAAGAAGATCCAGGTGTTTTATCTGTAACAAAAATTTATAATTATTATAAAAAGTTTGGATATAAAACAGTTGTTATGGGTGCTTCATTTAGAAACATTGGTAAGTAAAATTATTTTAAAATTAAATTATTGATTTAATTAATAATTTGTTAAAAAAAATAAATAAAAATTATGAAAAAACTGTTATTTTCTATTAAGGGGAAATTAAAGAACTAGCTGGTTGTGACTTTTTAACTATAAGTCCCAAATTATTGGAAGAATTAGAAAAGAGCAATGAAGTAGTACGCAAAGTACTTACAGTAGAAGCAGCAAAGAAATCTGATCTTCAAAAGGTCAGTTTAAATGAAGCCGAATTTAGATGGCTTATGAATGAAGATCAAATGGCAACAGATAAGTTAAGCGAAGGTATTCGCAAATTTGCGATAGATGTTCGTAAACTAGAAAAATTATTACAAGAAAAAATACAATCTTAAATATAAATAAAATATATGTATTTTAAATATCTATGTAACAAATGTTATATTGTAAATAACAAAATATAAAAAATAATTATAAAAATATAAATTTTTATTATATGATATATTTCACTTTTTTATATGATGCATAAATCATGAATAAATTTAAATAGATATTATACTTATAATATTAAAAATGAAATTTTAAGGAAATACATTATAAAGAATTACTTCTTATAAATGTAGTTGACCAATTAAAATTATATTGCTGATATGATATAATGACACAATATAGATTTTGATATAGTAATAAATAATAAATTTTTTTATATTGTATTAATATATTTTTACATATAAAATAATTAATATATACGATATTTTGTTTCTTCAATCTTGTATTTATTGATATTTTTTTGATATACTTTTTTGATATAGTAGTAATATATAGTAGTAAAGTAAATTATATATATGTATATATAATTTTAGAAAACTGGAAAATTAAATATTCTTTATTTTTTTATAAATATAATTTTAATGATTAAACTAAATATAATGTTTTATTTAATTTCAAATAATAGAAAATATAATAAAACTTATTTTTAATAAAAAATGATATTTTAGTTTGGCAGATATAAAATTTTGTTACAAAATTATTTATATTTAATAAAATTATTATTATTATATTATTATAAGTTTATTTTGTGAATGTTGGCGTATTGGTTTTATATTTTTTGATTCAGAATCTGAGTCAGAGAAAAGAATCAATAGTAAAAGTCAATATTACTTACCTAGTATAGTACAATACTGTGATAATATGACAAATTACATGTTGACATTGGCATATATAGATCGAACACATTAATTCATGTGTAAAATTGTTTTAGTCTCAATTTTTAAATAAAATAAATATAAAGGATAGAGAAAAGAATAAAGATAAGATAAGAATTAACTATTAGCGCCATCTTTTGATCACAAAAGATATATCTTTAAAAGAAAAATAAAATATAATAAAAATTGAGAATTAACGCCATCTTTTTTAAAAAAGTATTTTGGCTCTCTTTCTAAAAATAAATGTATGAAATGAATTAATCTATTAATCTCGAATTAATCGAAATATTTATTTCGACTAATCGAACAGAAATAGCATGATAATATTTATTTTAATATTTATGTTAAAGATTTTCTTTACATATTTTTAAGTGACTAAATAATATATTATAAGTGAATAAATAAATATAATAATTATACTTATTATATATAAAATTTTGTAAAATGCCGAAAAAAAAAACAGGACAAAGACGAAAAGCTGAAAAACAAAAATTAAGGCAAAAAGAAATTAGAACTGCAAAAGATCAATTAGATTTAGCTAAATTTCCTTGTAATGCAGTAATGGTGAGTAATTATATGTTTATTTTATAATGTAGATATTTATTGATATGATTTATGAGTACAAATAAATATAAATTTTAGAAAAGTATTTTTTAAATTACAAATATATTAGAATAGATTAATCTAATAATCTATTAATATATAAATATATTAATTAGTAATAAAATATTAAAAATGTAAATAATTATATTAAATAATATATTTATATATATTTTTGTCTGTTATACTATATTCTTATTAATTTTTTAATTAATTTAATAAAGGAATGTGATAAATGTGGTAAAAAACAAAAAAGTAGAGCTTTTTGTTACTTTTGTCAAACTTTACAACGATTACCAATGTGTGCTCATTGTGGAAAAATAAAATGTATGCTCAAAACTGGAGATTGTGTTGTTCGTCATCCTGGAGTATTTACTATTGGTTTAGGCATGGTGGTAAGTAAATATATCTTATTTTAAGTGAAATAAATATTATAATAAATATAAATTATAAATATATAATGCCAAAAATATAAATATTAAAGGGAGCTATATGTGATCATTGTGAAGCATGGGTCTGTCATGGAAGACGTTGCCTTACAACTCATGCATGTATGTGTCCATTAATAGATGCAATTTGTCAAGAATGTGAAAGAGGTGTATGGGATCATGGTGGTAGAATATTTCGTTGTTCATTTTGTAATTGTTTTCTTTGTGAAGATGATCAATTTGAACATCAAGCATCATGTCAAGTTTTGGAAGCAGAAAATTTTAAATGTAAAAATAAAAAATAATTATATATATGTATTTTATATACATTTATATTAATGTAATTATATTTAATTTGTTTTAAATAATTAATATTTTAAGGTCAATCATGCAATCGATTAGGACAATATTCTTGCTTAAGATGTAAAACATGTTATTGTGAAGATCATATTCGAAGAAAAGGATTTAAATATGAAAAAAACAAACCAATTCCTTGTCCTAAATGTGGTTTTGAAACATCACAAACAAAAGATCTTAGCATGTCAAGTAAGTAATGTATACATTTACAATACTAATTTTTCATATTTATATTTAATTAAGAAATTGTATTTTTAAAACAACATTATAAAATTATTTTTCATTTTATTATAGCAAGAAATCATAAATTTGGTAGACAAAGTCAAGGTAGTACATATGAATATGATAATGAAAATGGATATAATTATTATGGTAAAGAACTTTATTGTATTTTTAATATTCATTTCTTTTTTTAATTTAATTTACTTTATTTTCTTTTATACATTATATTATATATTTTATAGGAAATCAATCTCAAAACTGTATTCCTGAAAATTATACTAGTTATCAAGAAAATGAAAGTGAAGATGACAATAATGACGATGATGACGATAACGATGACGACGACGACGACGACGACGACGACAACGACGACGACGACGACGACGACGACGACGACGACGATGACGATGACGATGACGACAACAATGATAATAATGACGACGAAGACAATGAAAATGACAACGATGATGATGAATCAATAAGTGAAAGTGAACAAAATTGCAATAATAAATTATAATAAATATAATTAAATCAAAATGTTTAACAAAAATTGAATTTTGTAATTAAATGTAAAGATGAAAAAATAAATATATTACATTGTTATATCTTTATAATAACTTATAATTTATACTTATGATAAGAAGTTAAAATTAAATTAAAGATCTTGTTAAAAATAATATATATATTTTATTTAAGATATATATTTTTTTTATTAAAAAAAAATATCTGAATAATTAAATTAACTAGAAAATCTAGTAGTTTATAGCTATTAAATAACAAATGAAATATTAACGTATTTTATACATATTACTTTTATATATAATAATTAGAAACAATAAAAAGTAACAAATATGACATGTTACATATTGTAAAAATGTATATTATACACGTAATGAAGTATATTCAGATGGAAAAGCAAAAGTATGAGAACCAAATGCATTAACACTTGGTAGAAGTCCAGCATTTGGTATAATATTCCACGATAATATTAATGTTACATTTTTATTTCCCCTAAAATAAGAAGTAATTATTAAATTATACAAACAAATTGTTTTTTATTAAATAATTTTTTATAATTATAAAAAAATTACCTTAAACCATTACCATCATCCCAGAAATAATATTTTGTATTCATATTTTTAAAGTCAAGCACAGCATTATCTCCACGAAGTACTATTTTATCCCATAATACTACCTAAAATATAAAGATATCTTTATATAATATATTAAATCAAATATAATTAAAAAGCTATTTTTGTATTAGAATATTTAAGTTATACCTGATTAAAATTATTATTTTCTGTTTGATATTCTGCTGTGAGATATAAAAATAACTGCTTAACATTCCAATTAAATAAAGGAGTGAGATGTATATTTTTGTAAAGAAATTATATTTTATAATTGTGGTATATTATTATAGATTTAAAATTTTAATATTTATTAGATACTATTATGAATTGTATAATAATAAAATTTAATATTAATAAACAAAAATAAAATATTTCAATTAAAAAATATATATAATATTTTTATTAATTTAAATTAATATTGAAATATGCTATCATTTATTAAATATATTTATTATATATATTTTTAACATAAAAAAATATTAAAAAATATAATAAATATATAAATATATATATATATTTAGAGTTTAATAAAAAGGATATCAGTTTGTAAATCAAATGTTAAATATCCCAAATCATTTTTCTCTCTTGAAGCACTATAATCTGCTACATTTTTTCTGTAAAATAAAAACTTATAATAATTATTAAATAATATTATATTAATTATGATATAATATTTTTAATGAAAGTAATTTAAAAAAAATTTGATTATTAATTTGAATAAAGTTATTTTATACTAATAATTTTAAAAATTTTATTTTTCATAAAATTATCATATAAAAATAATTTTATATTATATATATTATAAAGAATATATAAATTCAACAATGAAAAAATATAAACATATAAACATATTAACAAATATTTTGAATAAAAAATCATGAATTAATAAATTTATATTTATAATGATTTAATTAAATTAATAAATATATTATACTTACACAACTACTTTTACGGTATTTAAAGTCGCGTTTGCTCTGTAATCAATAAATACAGTAGAGAGAAAACAACAAAATGTTAAACACGCCGAAACACTCAAAGTATATGCTAAAATAGCATTACCGCGCATAAAAGCAGTATGCATTATTATATTTTATTATCAATAAATAAAATTTCAAAACTTGTATTTAATAAATTTACTAATTAAATCATGCATTAAAAAATTTTAATCAAAATTAATTTTTCTTAAATCTCAACGTCAGCACTTCGACACGGTGGAATACCGGGTTAGTGTTCGAAAATAAACCGAACATATAACGCGTTCATAAATAAAGTAAACTTAACTTCAATAATCACAATAATTCTAGTTTACTTACGTTACATATACAAATCTATTTATTTGTTGTTTACTTTATGAAAATGTATTTATATTATTATATTATAAAATAAAATATTATAAAATTAATGACAAATAAATAATAATTGATAAATAATTCTTACTATTATTTGAATGTTTAAATTAATAAGTAAATAAATTAATAAATTTGTGTAATTTATAAATATTACGAGAAATATTATATAAATTTTATATATAAATTTATATATAAATAAAATCTATTTTAAAAAAATTATAAGAATATTAATTTTTTTAAAAATTAATTGAAATAACTATGTTATTTTTATAATGATGATTATATATATATAATATTTAGTATTCATATAAAATAGAAAAATATATACATATATCTATTTTGTTATTAAAATATATAAAGTTTAATTGATGACATGCTTTTTCTAAATGTACCAATATCAAATAATTTCAGTTCACAATAGGTTATTTTTTTATCAGCAGCAACTTCAAGGAAGTACATATTAGTATGCAATATAATGTTTATGTGAAATGTGCGGTGAAATTATTTAAAAAAGAATAAATAATTTATCCTAAAAAATAAGTTGAGTACGTTGGATATGTCGCATTGGAAAGTATGTAAATATTGTTAAAATATTTTTATGATTATTTTTAATTTCAAAACATTTGTTTTATTTACCGTATATATTTTTGAAATAGATGTTAAAAATCTTTTTAAGAAATTTTTCTAGAAGGATTTTAATAACATTTATTTCTTAATTTTATATTAACATAACATATAGTGCGATCTTTTAAAAAAATCTTAAAAATTTATGACAATTAAATAAGTAACTATTTAATATTTATATTTTCATATATTAATAATATAATTAATATCGCAAGAATAATAATTTTCTTACATTTTGTATATGTTATGTTTACAGTAAGTTTTGAGATTTATTATTTTGAAAAATAATCATATAATTCTGAAATCTTGTTACATATTATATATTGATGTAACAATGATATGACTCACAAATTATGATTTAAAAAAAAAACAACTTTGAATCATTATAAGATAATATAAGAATATAACATCAAAATGACAAATTAAAAGTTCACATTTCATAATTTATAATCCTTTACTAAAAAATTCAAGCAATAATTTTTTCTTTTAAATTTTAAGTTATATCATTGTTATAGTATGTGATATAAATTATCAAATAATTAAATTATAATATATATTTGTGTTAATATTATTATTATTAATAATAATAATTATAAATAATAGATATATATAATTATAATAATAGTTACAAATAATAGATATTATATTTATATTGGTGTTTAATAAAATTTAATAAAAATAATTAAATTTGTTATATTTATTTCAGAGTAACAAAGAATGGGTTGTGTCAATAGTAGAACAGATATTAATGATCTACATCCAAATGTTTTTCAAGTGATGAATGTAGATGATTTAGGTAATTTAATTACACCTGGACGTTTAGAAGTTACAGAAACTGACATAGTGCTTTATCAACGTGGTAAACAGCCTATTAAGTGGCCACTACGTTGTTTAAGACGATATGGCTATGATGCTGAAATTTTTAGTTTTGAATCAGGAAGAAGATGTTCTACAGGGCCAGGCATTTATGCTTTTAAATGCCGTAGAGCTGCACATTTATTTAATCTTGTGCAAACAAATATTCAGGTTTGTTTGTAATATAAAATTTTTTATAATATAAAATATATTATATTTATCATGAATTTAAGACAGTTTTTTTAAAAGTTCTTAATTTTATAAAAAAAATATAATTTATTATAGGTTTGTAATAATAGTGGAGATGATACAATGTCTAGAGAACTTCCAGTTGCTTCTCATTCTGCTCCAACAGTAACAAGAGTGACAATACCAGTTGAGCCTAATTATTTGGATCCTATATTAAATAGATCTAATAATCATGTAGGTCCTAGATTTGTTCACAATCAACAAAATGGAGTTGGAAGACTCGATAGTGTAGGAAGTAGCACTGGTTTTATGTCATCTCAAGGAAACATAAACTCTCCTACATCACCTCCTGTGCTGCCACCACCACCACCACCACCACCACCACCACCATTTCCTCAACCACATCCGTCCTCACTTTATATGAATGAAGAAGTATTGTCCTCTCTATCATTAGAAATGGAACATAATAACAACAAAAGCCTTAGAAGAGCAATACAAAGGTAATTAAAAACATGATTATATTATATAATATATCATTTTATATATTAATATTATTTTATGTTTCATAGGTCTTGTACAGTCAGTAATTCTATATCTGATAATGGATCAGCATCACTAGAATTAACATCTGTACATAAAAATACAGAAGTCACTTCTCAAATTAAATCACCACTTTCAATAGCAACTTATATAAATATAGATATTAATAATGATGTTAGTCCATTATCTCCAACTCATAGTATATCTGAAATAATGCCATTTAAAGAAGATAAAAATGAAAACAATGAATGTGGACATGCTTATATAAATATAAATCCTCAAGAACATGCTGAATCTTTTAGTGTTAAACCACGACCTTTACCATTGTCATCTATTCAATCTGATATAGAAGAAGCAACAAGACATTGTTATGCTAATTTAGAGTCAAATGAAATTGAAAATTTAAGGAAAAGATTTTCCGGAGTATCTATTGCGGAAAAATCACCTTTGCCTCCATCAACGCCTACAGGTGGTCCAATTAGAGAAGTAAATTATGCTGTATTAGATTTGGATACAAAAGATGTGCCAATGAATTTACCATTAGATGGTCCTTCAAATTCCACTGCATCTCCTCCAGAATCTCCAAATAAACTACAAAAAGGGTATGCTACAATAGATTTTAATAAAACGGCCGCTCTTTCTCATTCAGTCAATCCAAATATTGTAAATGATAATGAAGGTTCAAGAAAAACACGTCACAATTCTACAATTAGTGATTTAGCCTCTGGTAGGCGTAGTTCATCTATAAGTGAATAATAAGTTTTTTGTTTACTGATTGTGCCTGCATGTAATTGAATATCTGTAGCATTTTATAGAAAGTATAAAATATTTGATTAAATATAAATAATTTAATAATATAAAACCAAAGAAAAAATATTAAATTAGTTCATATACTTTTCGTATAATATTAAACAAAAAAGATTTTAGTATGTAAAAATATAATTAAAAAATTATATTTCTCATTTTGTTTTATATTTTATTATTCATTTAATAGAATTTAATTTTATACAATATATACAAAAAATATTGCAGTATTTTTAAAGAGTAAGTCTTTTTTCATAGTGCTGTTGATATGCACAAAAAAAATCTCTTTTATATAATATATAAATATGTTAATAGGATATTGTAAGTAATGATTTTCTACATAAACTATTGGAGAATTAGAAGCTAAAATGCCCTAATTTTCCTGGATAGGAATTGATGAGGCTCAAATAGACTAATTGAGATAAAAATACATAATATATTGACTACTTTAAAAGTAGTCAATTAAAATTTAATCACTTATGGCCATAATTTGGAGTGATTTTGATAAATCATAGATATTAATAGTAAAACATTATATATATATATATAAGAAATAATGTACATATAAATATATATGTACAAAAATATAATCTTGTTGCTCTTTAGATAAAAAATTTTTAAAATACACAATTTAATTAATATAATTATTATATTCTATTTAATTTGATATATTTTATAATTATTTGCTTTATAAATTAAATACATATATATATATATATATGAAAATTAAAATACGTTTCTTTAACATAATTAAAAATATATTAATTCATAATAAAA